TCAGTAGGGACGGCTATAGAACCGACAGGTTAATAACCGGTTCCAGCGTTGTCGGGAAGGTTTGGGGGCAGGAGACTTGTGTGAGAGTACATTTGGAAGACTCAGTGTATTAAGGGTGGTGCGTTATTTGGCTGCTGGTTCCATATGGGTTGCTCGACTGCCCAAATAATCGGTTACCTGAGGAACCTGCAGCTCGTTATGCCAAGAGTGCTGGTTGGCCCAAATCGGTGAAGCCATGAGGCTGCTTTTTAGCTTCCTGTGGCCAAGTTTTGAATTTTGAGCAGGATGTCTCTGTAGTTAAATACGGGCGGCTTCGGTATTTACGGCTTGAAATTTTTAGGCGGAAGAAAAGTGATCTGGAATGCTGAGAGACATATGGTATTGCTTTAATCCGTGAACGCGTAGATAGTTTACATTTCATGGGCCATCGGGCTGTGCAAGCGGTGCCAAGTATGTTACATGTTATCAAGATAAAAATTGGATGATATTCCATAAGCTTACAAATTGTAGAGGGAAGTTTTTAAATAAAAAATGGATACTTTTTGGGATTTATTGGTTCGCATTCAGCATCCAAAGCGAGAAGACATGTAATTGGCCGTACGCTTGGAAGAAAGCTAAGTCGCATTGCACTTCATGCACACGGGCTCCAAGATTTGCTGTGCCTGTGTGAATTAGGGATCTTTCTGTTCAAATAGAGGGGAGAAAGCCGCTGAATGAAAAGGAGATATCGATTAGTATACTAATGGGTTTTTTAAACTGCGGGAGCATGCCGTTTGAGGCAAGTTATAATAATAAATTTTATTCCCAACAAGTCAGTGGCATACTGTCGGGCATGATCATACTTTTACACTCGGAATAGAGCACGAATGGAGGAATCTACAGGGATTTCGCGAAAAAGTAACGACGCCACAAATAGTGGACAATGTTTCATACAGACTTCAGGCCCAAACCGGCATGGGAGAGGAGACAATTATCAGCAGTTTATCCTACTTTTTGAGGGACATATCAAGCCGAGACAAAACCAGTCGTTAAGCTCTGAAGGTGGCGGGCGAAAACAGAACGAGGGAGGGTGAAAAAGAGCATATTACTGGGTGCATGATAATAAAACTTCAATTCGCGAAAATTGGCGAGCCGGAACAACATATCTTGCGCGTTATGAGGATTGTCCCCAGCTGGCCCGTCATTGTGAACCAAAATCATAAACCACCGATAGATTTATTCGGGCTTCGATCTTTGGGCTTATGGCCGGGGCCATAAAAGCCACGGTGGGGAATCTCATAGTCATGGTGTACGTTGAAACTGTAGCGACTCACTGGTTTCACTGCTGGACTGAAGTCTGGGAAAGTGATTTTGCCGCTAACGCACAAGGAGGAACGCGGCTGCAAAAAGTGAATGACTTTGTGAGGAATATAGAATGAAAGTCAATGAGATGTATATATTCGTAGCGGAAGCTTCAGCGGGTTAGAATGAACTGATTTTGGAGGCTGCTGAGGCCAGGTGTGTTGTCCCCTCCCAGTTGTAGGTAAGCGCACGGGTCGGTGGGGGCATCTCCAAAAGTAGGAGATGGGTGGCGGGTATGCTATCAAACTGGGTGTGACGGTACCGTGCCATCATTGCACTTCCATACTTTGGTTTCTGAACAACCTCCTTGATGGACATCGTGTTTGAGGTGTTTGGGTATGCTTGGATATGCAATGCTGTAAGCAGTGGGATTCATTTCGGGAGGGGTGTTGGGTCGATTGAATCCGTCGATGTAGAACAAAGGCATTGTACCGTCGCAGTTATCATCTGGTTCAGATAGGCACCCCCTCGGACGTAGAGTACAGGACAGATGGATTAAATAACAACAAAACATTGCGTCTGAATCAGGTGTGGTCGAAGTTCGAGGCATGCAGCAATTCGGACCCCCACGACTTGAACGTGGTGAGCAACAACACATTATAGAGAAAGGTGCAAGAAATAGGCCACAGGTAACGCTCAAAGGTAGAAAAAAGTAATTGTGGAGTACAGTTAGATGAGGTACGGCGGTGCCTGGTCAACATTGCATTTCCATAATTCTGCTTTTGGACAGCCCTTTGACGGAAATCAAGGCTGTCAGTCGGACAAGGAATTCTTATTACTTTGGTGACTGGATCTGGATTAGACGAGGGGACTGACACAGGTAGGGGCAGGCTGAAGTGACTAGGAGTTCTCTATTGACCGTTTCGAAAGATCGATGGGTTAGTGATCTGGGTCTCTTGATTGCTGTGCTCTTCTCTGGAGGTAGCGCGGTGATGGATGAGGTAAATTCAGGTTTTAGTAGTGCTTGGAGGAAAAGGCCAAGAGCAGTAGCTTTGTATACCTTTTTGATGTAAGTGGAAAGATATTTGTTCCTGAGACGATCAGAATTAATGAACTTTAAAGTTACCACTTAGATGGCACCAAAGCACTTCGGTTTTAGCCTTATACGCAAGTACGGTTGGATAGTTCAAGTATACATATGTATACCGTTCAGCTGTTACATCTTCCCTGTGCCTAGCTGCCATGGATTCACGGATTCACGGATTGATACATAGAATCGAGGCTTTTGCCCAAGTTTCCCGGGTCGGTTTTGTTCTTGTCGGTCAGTGGTTGTCGTTCACCTGAAAGGCACAAGTGAAAAAAGGTAGTAGCACTGCTCTTTATGTTCTCGGCACGGGGCAGTATGCTTGCCAGCGCGAGGATTCGCATAAATAAATGTCTAATAGTGCCTTAAATTGGGTTCTAGAAGGAGCGTGTTGAATGATTAGGCTTGTCTTGGCAAAACGAAGACACAGTAGAGATGCAATACGCATTTATGACAGGTTTCATGGAATCCTTCTGCATCAACAACGTGCAAGGAACCAAAACGCAGGACCGTGCCTTGTAGCTAAGAGAAGTATTTAAGTTACCATAGCCGGCAGGTTAACCCAAAAGCGAAAAAACCTCGCACCATCGGGTCTATCAGCGAACGTTCCCTCTGGATGATATTTTGAACAAGAGATTAGAGCTGGGAGATCATACAGGCGAGGGTGAATTTGTAGCTATGAGGTTTCTAGCCGGAATAGTCGCTTAGCAGACCGATCTCGAACAAGCGTGATGAGTGACTAAAGCTCCGGTGCGGTCAGCTTTGAAACTAGTCCTTCCAGGTTATACGCGATAGTCTAATGCAGATTATCTGGATGTCTTCTGATAAGGGTACATACCTCTGAGGGAGACAGGATGGTAACAGAAGGTAAATCGCACGCTCATTTAGATGCATTGAAAGATGAATCTCACCAGCCATGTATAGAAACAGGAAACTCGTTTTACTCAATCTTCTATGGAAACAACAGGTTGACATTCCAAAGCTGACAGTTAACGTAACCGGAACAAAATTTCTCGGAAGAATTTTGGGGGGAAATGTTTGCCGGAACATTAGCCGAAACATCAGGAGCACTCGTATTCATGGTGCAAAGAAGATTCACTGACTCAATCAATGGGAGTAGTTTGTTGTACCTTGCGGCCCGCATTGCAACGGACTGCTCTGATCTACAGGGGGTCCCCAACTCATGCTGAATATACTACTAGTCCTTGCGTGTGAACTGCCTTGAAATATTTGATTACAGAATCTGGATTGTCAACCAGCTCTCTGATTTGCATAACCTTGTGACTTCTGATTTTATTATCCCGCTTAACTGCACGCTCCATACGAATAGAAGAGTGCCTTTCCAGCGCAGCGTGGCCAACCCCAGTTGAAGGGTGGCCGTTATGCTAAACCGTTCTCCCCGTTGCTCACCTCTACGATGATTTCCCAAACGTTGGGTGTAATACCAAAGATAGACGTCTATGGCCGTGCTCCGTCGGCTCTGCGACATTTCGAAGTTATTCCTTGTTTTCCAACTACCCGGGAGGTATTGCATCTCGAAGCCCTTGTAACCTTTGACAAAAGTGAGTCCACCGGTCCATATTTGGAAAGCTAATTTTACCCATGTTAGTCAGAGGACTTCTTCAGGTGGAGCGACCCGATTTGTTCAACCATTCAGGTTGCATGCCACAGGCTATTCGATGTACCACAGTTACTGTGCACGTGAATGGAACCACAATAGATGCGCCATCTGTGTTGGCAGATGATTCGCGCCTCAATCGTACCGTCCGTTTTCTTTTTATATCGGTGTACCAATCGACCAGAGTATGGGTATCATGCGGTAGGTTTCCAGCTCAAATAAGTACGGGACAAAGCAAGCATAATAGAGTAAAGACGAAGAATACGTTAGTAAAAATATAATGAAAAGAAACATAATGGAACACGTACCTGGCACAGCTGCTTTGTGAACACTAACCTGGATGAAGCTTTTTGTACCTGCCATAATATCTCGCACCATTTTGGCTCAGCTTCTGAGTACAGTTCCTACGCTGGCCATCTGCTATTTCTTTCGAGTTGTCAGATACGGCTGATGAATAACCATATTCCTCTTATAATCACTTGCACCAGCCTTTGGATAATGCCACAGCTTCTGACTTGGGCGGCTTGAGTCTCCTAAACTGAACCCCGAGTAAATTAATCACCAATAGGGTGAAAAGTGGAGTAACCATTGGGCGGTTATTTGGTTTTGTTTTAGTCACATGTCTTTATCTCCGCTTGATATTCTCAACGAGGATCCGCTAAACCTTTTCAGCAGCGAAACGAAAGAAAAGTCTAAAAAGAAAAAGGGGCGCCGCCAACGACGGGATATTTTCGCTGAACTAGGGCTTGATGGTAGTTTTTTTTAATTAATGGTTATTTTCAGACGAAAAAGAGACAGAAACTAGTCTTTTGGAAGGAATCTCTTTTCTCAAATCAAAGCCTGCTTCTCCAATAAAATCTGTCACTTTCAAAGACGGTTTGTCTATGCAATTTGAAGTAATCTTTGGAAACACGCAGCCGTTGTAGTCAATGAGATCAGTCATTTAGATCATACCTCGTCAGCTTATGCAACGAACAGAGAGTCAGGTTCGTTTCGCTATCTGAATTCATGCAATCTCAGTCGACGAAGTTAACCGGAGCATCGCAGAATTAGAACAAGCAAAATGCCCCTTGGGAGATGTGGGTCAAAATCCCGTAGTTAGTCAAGAGTTTATTAGCATGTGTCAAGAAACCTTGAGTGACTCAAGAGAAGAAAAGGATATAACGGCCTCCAGAAAAGCAGAAATATACCCGACCACTCAGTTATATCCGAAGCCATCCGAATTGGAGTTTGGACTTGGTGACATGACCAGTGCTCGGTACTCAGAACAAGAGCAGGAAGAGGCCATCAAAGGTGAGTAGAACTGGAAATCAGTTTCAGTAATTTCCCCACACCTGCTTGAAGTAGACGGTTAGTGAGATTGGTCCTAGTGCCGTATTCTTTCAATGTGATAGGCTGCTTTATTCTACAACGTGTCCCAACTTATGCTGAATATAATCTCTTTTCATAAATGAGCTGCGTAAATCCTTCGAAAGTTTTGTTAAGCCACGCATCTGCGCCACCCTTCTAACTTTCTGTGATTGTTCACTGGTGTTATAGGCGTTCATCTAGCAGCGTTTCAAACCCGCATTAAGCTAGAAGGAAAAATCCCGGGTGGAGTGTACAATTTTTTACAGGAAAAACTGGAATTGATCTGGGCATTGCTTTTTGTATTTTCCGGCATCATAAAGGCGGTATGCTTCCGTTGAACACTTCAAAAATCATATTTTCAAAAAGTGTTGAGTATGAGGGTTGTTTTTCATACAGATGAGCAGCTACCGACAAGCAATCAGGCGTGCCTTCACTCATCAATCGCTAGTTTATTTAAACGATTTTGGAGATATTTCACCGAATTTATTATCACATTCCCTTCAAAACCCACGAGTTGTAAGAGCATTACATAAGTTTCTTGGCTGTTTTAACTTGTTCTCTTACTTGGATTGGTGCTGATGGAGTTAAGGGTTTGTCGGCAACTGCGCCCTGCACTGAGGGTGGAACATAGCTAGCAATCAAGCTAAAAGGTGAACTTAGTTGCCTAACCGTTTGCCTTTGCAAGATCTTGTACTAAAGCCTGGTACTTACAGTAAATATCGAGAACGTTCACACTGCACCAGCTGAATTTCTCCAAATCTTGCCTTTTCGTCCTTTCTGAGACAGAAGTTCACCTTGCTTATCTTCATTTTTGCATACTTTCCCGCATATAAATTTATTTATTGTGGCTGCGGTAAAACTGTTATTCTTTTCACATTTGCTTTTGTTCTGGCAGCAGATATCTTACTACTCCGTAACCCGTAGAATATTTTCATATCCATGGCCCTCTGACACTGATAATGGATCCCATTACTGATGGTTACAGTAGTACACATAGATCGTCAGTCATACACTGAGGATACGAGAAAGTAGAGGTTCCATTCTTTGTGGCGACCTGTTTATTTACAGCTTTATTCAAACCTGTTATTAAGCGGTAGCCACGCAGATTAACAATGATAATGTACCACCTTACACGCTTTGCTTAAAGGCATCCCGCTGGAACACAGTAGCTTCAGAATCCATGTTAGCAAAACAAAATGTCCACTTTGGCTAAGTGATAACTGTACATTCTATGAGGCATTCTTTTTTCTTGACTCATTGCAGTCGGATACCGAAATTTAACAGTCAGTGATCACAGTGCAATGCTTGTTACTATGCTCTTATGTCCTTGATTAGCTTCCAAAGTATTTAGCGGCAATTCCACAGTAACAAAGCACAGTCACGCCTATCTATAATCTTAATTAACTGTTGGAGACAGTAATGGCAAATTGTTACACTCTCACAGGAAAATATAAACTTACGACGAGGATGAAATGATCAACAGTTGGTTACAACATATTGCCGTCAGCATCAAACAAAGAGTTTTTACAATAAAGCGTTTTCAATCTGCTGCGGGGTCCATACAGACGGCGAATTAAGCAAGCATTTATCTTCCTGTCTCCTTTTCATAATGAGAACGACATTTTGATTTTGTTTCTCGACTTTTTTTGCTCTAAAATAAGTGGTTTCCAGCTTGTGTAAACACAGTACAATTATTCACTAAGAATTTTGAATTTCCACATTATGCTTTCTTCGTAAACATTCCCAGCTTTGCTGTGTGATTCAAATTACCCAAGTGACTGTTCTTAATTTAAAGGTTTGTTAACTGCCTCAGTATCCAGGGTCTACAGACGTTCTACTTACCAATGTCGCTACTCATGATCTACGCCCGGAAAACCAGAACTTACTGCTTTTTGCATATTGGTTTAACTACCTACCAAAATAAAGCTGTTAAAGACACGCAAAATGATCTCAGAGGACCAAAGTGGTTTATAATCTAAGAGTATGTTTTACATTTTTGAACTTGAAAAATCATGTTTCAGCGTGTTGAGGTTTGTTGTTTTAAACATAAAAAGTAATGGTCAGTGATTCCATTTCTTCTTCCCAAATGCAGATGGTAAATCGCCAGATACAGCTGAGAGAGCCATGGAGCCAAAGCCAAAACTTGCTGTTCTCCATGAAGACTCTGAACACTCACAACAAGAAAATGTACAGAAAAATACGTTAGGCGTACAACCGGTCGATTTGGTACAAACGCCCTCACCACCAGCAGCATCGACAGTTCGTAAATCTTGGTGAGTCCAGTGCCGAGAATTACTTGCGGTGCGTAGGTAGCTACAACAATGTTTCACATTTTTGGCGTAAATTTGGGACCGAAAATCATCTCAGTCAATTATTAAAAACAAAGATAGGAATTCAAGACGACGTGCTGGTCTCAATTAGAGGGACCTTCATCAAAAGACAGTATCATCAGAAAACATCAACACTCGGAAGATATCAGTTTTAGTTGACACCCTTATGAATATTTCTTCGATAAACTTTCTCTACGAAGCTACTCCCACTCAGTCTCTTGCGATGGTCCATCATCGGACAGAATTGCATAAATACTTCACCACTGCGAAGCGGGAGGATTCTGTCTTTAAATCAAATAAAACTTCATTCCAAAGCCAAACAAAAATATTTATTAGTAGAACTATACATTTAGTGTATTTTATACTTTTAGCTTTGACTTTTTTTTCAGGTTTGGCCCAAGCGGCCATGAAGTTATCGACTGTGTCAACATTTACAAAATGCTTTCAGTACAATATGGCAACAAAATTACTGTCATGAGTGGTGTGCGTGGTGCTGTCCCATTAAAGTCCTCATGCAGGGCAAAATTTTGAAGCTGAGCCGCCACGCGGAGAATAGCCACGTGTAGATTGACCTACCAGGAGAGATCGAACGAAGAGACAGGAATTGAGCACATCAAGAGTCCGGGTCTGAAACACCGTCATACAAGCGCGGATACTGTTATGAAACTTAGAACCACAACAGAACAATATGAGATACTAATTTCACAGAACGTGCTGTTGACTCATTTTGCAAAGAAACATACAACCACTCCCAAGGCCCGAGCAGAATGGGGTGATTTTTATTGGCAGTCACCTTCCCTAAATACAGTCACAGAAAATAGAGTTAGAACAAAAGCTACAAACGGTCTTCATGACGCATGGACTTAAATGTATTCCATTTACCTGGTCCACAGCAGAATTTCCCTTCTGACCTTTAAGTGTGTTATCATTGCATCCTTAAACATGGCACGCAATATAGATCATTTCATGTAAGCATAACACTTGATAGAAAGCACACTTACGTCAAACCTACAAACTCCACCTCACAAATTGCACGGCTATATAGAAAGCACTTTGGAACCTTAATTTACTTGAATAAAGCGTGGTGCATATCAATTCACGTACTTACATGCCCTAGTTTCTGTGTCACAGTTGACATGCTCGAGCTTCCTTGCAATTTTAGAGTGATTAACTCGAGGCTGCGAATAGTTTTTTTGTATTAAAGTCTCACTAACTCTACATATTGAATAAAGGCAGTTAGTGCGTTGCAAAACATAGGGTTGTGTATGTCAACATTTACGCTTGTGGCTTGCGAAACACAGCTTACTGAGACTGAATTGCTGCATTTACAGGACTGATTTAGGCGCCATCTTGAGTTTCAAGTGCTCTGTTTTTTTTAAACTACAGTGGTAGGACCTACTCGCATGGGCGAAAATTTCGGTTTCCGGCTCACTGCAAGAGTCTTCAGAAGGCAGTGGTTTGCTAAGAAAGTGCTCCATACCTGTGCATCGCTAAGCAAACCGATCGTTCAAGAGCAGGAGGCATAAGATCTAGTGAGTTAAAATAATACGGAAAGCCTAAAGTAATGGGATAATCCGCAGTTGGCATCCAGTAGATAAGGGTCAATGAGAACACGTGGACCGGGACAGATGAACTTGTAAGAATAAGTGGTTCAATACAGAATTAGTAAATCAAAGCACAGTTGCGTAAACCATTGGAGGAGAAAAGGTCCCGAAACGCAGAGGAAAATGTTTGGGGCCAGTATATGGATACGAGTGAACAGGCATTTCCCGGAGTAGCGGGGCGGAAGGCAGCCATTATCTTCTGGAAGTAGCTCAAAAAGGAAACTGAAAATATATAGAATAACAGGAATGTGGTGAGTTCGGCACAAAAATGCATCTGGCCAAAAGTTGTCGACAAGCCTAAAGTAATCGGATAATCCGCAGTTGGCATCCAGTAGATAAGGGTCAATGAGAACACGTGGACCGGGACAGATGAACTTGTAAGAATAAGTGGTTCAATACAGAATTAGTAAATCAAAGCACAGTTGCGTAAACCATTGGAGGAGAAAAGGTCCCGAAACGCAGAGGAAAATGTTTGGGGCCAGTATATGGATACGAGTGAACAGGCATTTCCCGGAGTAGCGGGGCGGAAGGCAGCCATTATCTTCTGGAAGTAGCTCAAAAAGGAAACTGAAAATATATAGAATGGCAGGAATGTGGTGAGTTCGGCACAGAAGTGCATCTGGCCAAAAGTTTTCGACAGGTTTCAGGCGTCCGTAGAGCCCTCTGCCTGGGAAGTCCTGACAAGCAAGACAATCGATCAACACAAACAGGACAGCTACTGGAAATCATGCAGATCAAGCACATCACCTGTTAAGATCCATCTTGTGTAAATTCCTGTATGACGTCTTAAATCATGACGGACCACAGCGTTCTGTCTCAGCTACTTGTTTTATTGTTCACTCAATGCCTTTGTAATGAGGAGCTGTTGGCGTCGTCCATTGGGACTGTGACCAAGGAGCCAGAAGTCTCACTCTCTAAACCATGTTTCGCTACCCTCTCCTGAACTTAGTTGGCAAATTCTTTGTCATGAGTGTGTCTTTACCTGGCAAAACAAAATAGAATAGATGCTGTAGGCTCCATTTTTGAATCCGTTTCCCATTTTTATACCCGGTTACTTACCCTGTTATTTGACGCGCAACCGTTTTAAGTGATGGGTCCGTTTGCTAGAAATCTCTAATTGGTCTATGTGACAATTTCACTGCAAACATATCCCAAGCTGATGCTACGCCACTGAACCCACAAACTGTTCCACTTATATCGTCTAAAACAGCATTAATCCTAGCTATATTCTTTGCGGATTGGTCAGAATTGCAAGTGGGTCACTCTTAACAGCTGTTCTTACTCTCTAACCTTAGCACCATCGTTAATGCTACAGTCGTCACTGCTATCCTCATGGTATCAAAATCCTTCGTTTTTATCAACATTATCATCTTCATTATTACCATATTGGCCGTCGGCTTAATCGTCACCTCATCAGTACCATCTCTAGTTTTGCTGGTAGCCCCCACGAATCCGTCCTTTATTATGCCTGTAACGAGAATTGCAATGAAATGTATCGTAAGCTACTGATTGAAATTACAGCACAACTGAAAAGCAATGGAGCAAAACTTTACAGAATCCATTGTCGCACCTTCCATGTAGCTGACTTGCGAGTCACATCAAATGAGAGAAGTGGAATATTTATTAGCGATGCACTTCAAATCTTTGCGCAGTCTCCACGGTTCTTAGAGGTTGATCATATAGGTTACCACACATATTGTTTTGTATTTTTATCGCAATGCAGTTTTGTCTCAGAATTCTGTTGTGGTCCATTCAACGATGCTGCAAATGCTTTGCAAATAGATTATAAAGTCTGACAGAAGTGATAATACAAAATAGTGAAGTGATGCGTTCTCTTTTTTAGTCCTTTGTGCGTGACAAACAAGAATGAAGTGGAACTTTAGCCCACCATGGAACTCACAAGAAACAATATTGCCTCATCTTTACTTTTCGAGTTGTATTCATGTGAAACTCGAAGATGAACTCTGTTGATAGTAGTGAGAATCAGGTGTCTGTTTATTTGCGTGCTTTGAAACCGCTCAACGATATATAGCACATACAACTATTGCTCTAATTTTAAACGGATTTCACTTGTCTTCCTATCTAAGTGTCAAGGAATCTACAGCACAACCCGAAACAGCAAAGCCGAAAAAAGCCTCCTCAGTAGAATCACTCACTGCAACAGCTAGATTAACAAGATCAAACAGCTTGAGGTGAGTTTACATAAGAGGTCATTAAAACCATTGAAACTGTAATAGAAAATAGCCCACTTTTGCCTGGTATAATTTTAATCTTGTTTGTTCCTAAATTTAGTATCTTGGGTGGGGTTAAGGGAGCTCGATAGGAGAGAGCTTGAGGAGAGGGTGGCATTTTTTTAGTGAGTCTCCATTTTTCCCGTTATGGAAGACACTCTGTGGTAAACAGGGGGATCAGTGGATAGACTGGATATTCATCACGCCGAAATCAGTGAGCGTGCGTACCCCTCCCATGACCACGATCTCATTTCACCTAACTATTTAAAAGTCAACCTGCGCTTTTGGAAAGTGCGACTTCATTGCCACTGGTCTGTTGTATAAATATTGAATTCACGGTTTTGTTCTTGAACGCACTGAACTAGTTGCCATTAAGAAGGCACAGGCTATTGTCAAGTTTTTAAAAATGAATTCAAATTCTCATATTTTCTTTTAACTGCTGCTCACTGCAGCTGTACTGTACATTAAATGAAACTGTTGTTTAGCTACTCCCTAAGTTCAAGTAGAACTACGAGTAGAACTACGTGTCCCACAGCTGCTCGTACGCTTCGATAGTTCCACCAGGTCAGTATGTGCTTCACAGGCACTGTTTTCCATAGCGGCCGTAATATCCAAAAACTGGCTCCGTTAAAATGTGATAAAATGGTACAGCGGACGGAATGACCGGGAGGCCAGAGCTGTCACGAATGATGTGCGCAACGTACTTCAGCGGATGAAAAGCATCAAAAAAAGCATACAACTTATTCTAATTTGAAGTTATACTTAATTTCTGGTTGACTTTTTACACTTTGCATAAATAGTAAAAAATGGAACCGGTACGGAAAGGGGACCATGTCAAAAAAGAGCGCTGACGATGAAACAGAAGCAGTTTTCTGGCTTTCAGGTGCAAATCTCAAGGGTCCGGATTGAGGGACCTGCACTTGGAGTAACCTGTTGTTGTCTGTAGTGGTTGCACAGCATATAAGTGCCTGTTGTATCTGTGTGGTGCCAAGGCCACTGAGAAAATTTGGTGTTCCGCTTCTGTGGTCTGTTATTGTGTTACAAATGCAGGTTTTATCGTCACCACTGAGAAAAATACTGAACTACATTTTAGCCTCCCAAGTCCCATCTTGAAGAACGCGGACAAGCAAACAAGTGAGCCAGGTGTTGGGCCGCGAAGCCAGGTATCAACAGCGGATAAGAATAACCAGCATGTAAGAACTCTCCCCTCAACTAAATCGAGTCCACGTCGGCCAAGTTCCTGTCATTTGGGCACGTTTGTCGAAGTACCAAAACAAGGCGCTAATGACGCAGCATCCATGAGGATGCTAGCTTACCGAGAATGGTACCTGAAGTCTCAGAAATCAATCCTTGAAGCAAAACGTGTAATGTCCGAGAAAGAAGCCAAAGAAGCTGAGAGAAAGTTGGAGGTACGATTTCTTATTGATTTTTCCCCACCTAAAGTTTGTCCAGTTGTCCTCCCAGCATAAATAATGATGAGTATATGGTTTTCAATCAACCTAGCTAACTTGTTCTGTTGGGAGTGATCGTCACCGGGATTCGTGGACTACGACTACCTCACGTATCCTAAACTGGGCCAACTAATTGTTGGTACTAGGCGAGTATTAGTTCTGCTGCGAGTGCTGTCTTTGGTGTTGGTGGTGACATTTCTGATCATGACGGTGAACCGGATTCCGATGTGCCTACATGTTAAGCAATGTATCTGACTCAAGAACACCCTTGATCTATGATAAATAAGTAGACTTTGATACTCATGCGGTATTTGTGTCCATAAAGCGAAAAAGTCCACTTTCTTACATTTTTGTAGGCGTTAGAAAAGGCTCAGGAAAATGAAAAAATGTTTATGGCGTGGAAGTCGAGGAAGCGGGCTTATTTTCGGGAACAACTGAAAAAGAAGAAGGAAGAAGAGGCGGCTAGGCAAAAGAAAGCTCAAGAAACAAATGAACGGAAGGCGTCATCTGAAAAGGTACATCAATCTTATGAGTAAAATGTCGACTTCTTATATTCGGTTGTTCAGCTTCGCTGCATTTTGTTGAAGAAATTTGGATAGACTGTTTTACTACCAACAACCTCATGCGCAACATTTCAACTCAAGAATATATGATGTGATATCTCAATTGTCGCACCGGATGAAATATAAGATGGTCTATATGCCACACATTCAGTTAAAGGATATCGTTGATGACAGACTCAACTGGAATCCAGTCGAGTCTCCGTTTAGTTACAAAATAAGCTATGATTTTAGGCTATCTTTCCCTGAGGCCTTGAAATTAACGTCCTGGTTTTAACCTACATGTGATCATTCAGGAGACAAGTCATAGGCGAAAAACGTGCCATCTTAGCCCCCCACTCTTTGAGTGCTAGTGTACGTACCTTCCAGAATTTCGTTCATCTCGCCGGGAGATATTAGGAAAAACGTACGCGTTGTAGAAGACCTATCGAGTTGGAAGTTAGTAGGACGAACTGACGGTAAACTGACATGTCTACTTGGATAGAGTGACGCGGTACTGTTGGACGTATAGGCCAGAGGGAGGAAAAGGAAACGAGAGATCAGACAAGAGACTTTTAATGAGTTATAAGGTGGACCGGCTGTCATCAATCGTTTATCACACTAATGACAGCATAAAGGATACTTAAAGCCTATTCTAAACAAGCAAGCCTTCAATTTGAGTCTAACTCACAGATAATCATCGTACGCAGGAGTACCACTGTTTACTGCAAACGCATGCTGAAAAACAAGCACATTTTAACACCTACAAACGTCTGCAAATAGCTGGCATTGACTATGTCAACTTTTTGTGTACACCGCACTCGGAAGATACCATAGAGCAAGTAAATATGCATGTGACGTGTTTTCTGCAGGACCGAACTTACAGTGCACTCATCGTTACCAGACAGTGCGCACATGACTATTCCGAATGAGTTTGATGAAATTAGAATACATGTTGAATGATCCAGATGTCGATGACAATGAACATATCTCTTCTGGGATCGGGGGAAAAACTTCTCCTGGACACAAGTTGACTCCCCGATAAGGACTAGTGTGTGAGCGTCGCACATCGGACAATTTGATTTGCCCGCGCGGAGCACACATACGAGTTCGTCTGTGAGTTGGTTTGAAGATCCCGGTATGATTATCGTGTGTATGTTGAGTCAGCATGATTCTTCTCTCATGGAGGAGGAACAAGTGGAAAACGACCAAATGTGGTTCGTTCTAGGTGGATGTTAAACGCTAATGAAGGCTGCAGAGGGCTAACCAAAAGTATTTAGGGCAAGACCAGCCTAAGTAATATTAGCCCAAGGGAAAGACCACTCTTGGTCCTTGTCTTGAACATCTCTTTAACCCTCAGATTCCTTTCTGGTGGTTCCTAGAGAGGTAGTTGCTTATGTCTTGCGGACTTATTTTACATGGGGAGAGGGGCAGAAACCCGCCATATGATTCATGGCATGTCTACCATCCAAACCTGAATATTCAACTGAGATCTTATCTTGTCAGCAAAGGCGGCCTTTGCTAAAATCCGAGGAATGCTGCAGAAGATTTTCGTCCTTATTGAGAATCAATAGCAAGGCACATCTCACGCCACTCAGAGTTGCGAACGCCGGATCAGTAGTCAAACGCGTGCTCGTTCGACCGCGACCGGCTGAATACCAGTGTGATTAGCCCTCACTTAAACCGTATATAGCCCCACTCATCCTTCGTTCACAGGAATCACATCACATTGTTGCACATTAATTGGCTCCTTGAGTGACAACTTCTCATGTGGAAGTTTCACTGATCATATTGATGTCCAGCCACTCAAGGTCGAAGTGTTTTGTCTTAAACCACTGTTCGGGAGGTCACCTATTTAAAATTGTCGGAAGTTCGGGAGATCCGCACTGCTGACAATCCCCAGTAAGGTTGAAACAGCTGTACGTTGCTTCTCGACTTATCAGCATAGATTGGCTTCACTGACAGAACAAGATCTCAACTGAAAATTTTCAATTCTCTTCACACTATTATAAGTTGCTCGAGGGAAGACCAATTTCACAAGCTGAGTAAAACTTTCATCTGATTAGCCATTCAACAAGTGACCAAGTGATGTAGTTCCCGCGTCCGAACAAATAAGCCCTGCATCCTGTCTACGTGCAAGTTAATCACACTACTAACCAGCCGCTCGAAGCCTAACGGCTAAGTGTTCAGAGCACCAGCTGGGAGGTCACAGCTTGGAAATTGACTTGAGTTCACACTGCTGATGATTCCCAAAAAGGACAAACTCGGTTTTTAGCACAGATAAGCTTTACTGACGGAACGAAATTTTTAACCGTAAATTTTGAAAAATCCTCACACCACAATCAGAGCCCGAATAATCGGATTATCCCTTGGGCTAAAGTTTATTATGCTTGAAAGTTCAACTCATTAGTTGGTATCAATGGGCTGAATCAAACCAATCTCGTATCCTTTAAAAATCGAACATAATCCGGATCAACAAAATGAAGCCAATACTTAGTAAGTCTCATCCAATGTTAACAAACAGTTATAGTAATTAAGCAAGCTAGAGAACTTTGCAGATAGCCTTGATACTACATGACAGACTTTTTACATTAGACTGAAGTGCAGTCCGTAAAATTTATGCTTTATCCTCTGGTGTTCGGCATTCGAAAGGATCCAGTGCTGTTGCAGCTCACTGCTTCCATCAACGTTCACCCAAGAGAGGTAGAAGTATATATCTTGACAAAGCACATTCGCTTGCAAATCACTATGGAGTTAACTGATCCTTTGGTTAAAAATTATCTGCAATTGAATTTGCTGCACAAATGCCACCTCATATTTGGAGTGTATTTACTGTGCATAGCACAATGCTTATGCTTTTGATGGCCTACCACCTGTTTCGCCATTTTTGGTGATCATCAGGTAGGCCAAGTCCTATAGTTTCCACCTACGTTATGTTGTTTTATTCGAATACCATATTACATGAAAACGGCGCAGTAAAGGTATTTGCAAGTCATATTGGTTTCAATGAGGACAAGGACAAATAGAGATTTAGTTGAGTATGTCTTTAACACCGACGTAATTTGTGACTTTGGTGTTGAAGCAAAACGGAAACAAAGGACACTATGCCTAGCTGATGACTTACAAAAAGACCCAGGCCGGTAAATGTCCGTGAGAGTCTTAAAAAACTTAATAAGATTGTCTGCTCAAATTTCAAATGGTGCAAACATAGCTAGGTTGGCCACGTTCCCTCCCAGCTTTGCCAAAACTCATCCCACTGCACCCGCGTTCATGAGGTTTGGGAGGACGTACAACGACTTTCGATGACGTGGCTTAAATGCCGTTTATTTTTTTATACGCCAGCGTTTAATGATCTAGGTACCTTTTCTGACGAATAATTTGCAAAAGTCTAGATATCAGCCGTAAATATTTCAATATTGGAGCTGGACTGTGAGAACAGTTAAGTATATTATATGAGAAGTTCAGGGTCAAAACACAGTGTAGTATAGTCATACTCCGACTTGTCAGTGGCCACAATCAACTTCTTCCAGGGATTTTTACACTCAATTCAATATTCCGTGAAAAAGTGCAACGTGGCATTACAGACACATTAGCTTTCCACTTCTTCACCACTTTAGGTAGCTGTTTTGAGCCATAAGTTACAAATTTCAAAGTAACGTCCGTTTTTTATCGATTGTGTCTAATATCTATTGGTGACGCATGTTTTTGTGATGAGCTTAAAAACGCTAGGGATCTTGTGTGTTTTGTGTCACTTGGACTCTTCTGATAAGATATGGGTAAGAATATGACAAGATAAGATATAGAGCACACATTTCTCTCGTATGAAGTTTAGTCTCTGTATCGCTGATTTCATCCAAATAGACCCTGTAATTTGGTTGTTATGATACACTGGATCAAGTTGTTCCCGACGTATACCTGTCGTAAATTCAAACTGCATCCTTTAATTCGTCCACCTCTACGGAGAGAAGTATACTTTGAAAACCTCCACATGACTTCGCTGTGAACGCACTAGCTTTTTTGTCATGGCAAGTGCTAGTAGATTTCGTCACTAACTTGACATTGTGGCTGCAATAGACCGTAACCCAATGGTCACAAGTAGGCTAAAAGAATGCAACTAGTTGTTCCGATTTGTGCACAAGGCATTCGGTGTTTAAGCAAGAAAAACAAACACTGAACTGTGTCTTCCCTTTAGCACACGGCTACTGCACAACTCGGGGCAGGCACTAGGATTCAGACACTGCCAGTTTACCTAAATCTAGTCAGGTGCGAACGAAGTGCCGGGGTCGGCTAACCGTTTTTAGTTTTGAACCTCGTACTATTTCGAGCTGTGATAGTGATAAGATGCTTCTGTCAAGATTCAGCCTGCTCTACACCACAACTTTAAAGCGTCAGTTATCCATCTGCATTGATGTTCTTTGAAATTGTGTTCGAAATCAATTTTAGAAAAGGGCAGCATGCTTCAAATGCTCGTGGTGGCTTCATCGAAGTGCCTCATCAAATACGGTATTTTTGAATGCCCCACATGACCCCGTATTATGCTCGAGATATTTTCGGACAATCCTTCGACAAATTTTGTTTTACAGAAAGATATTTTAACACAGGTTCTGTGGCGACGTAAACCCTTGGGAACGATCACGTGGGTTGCAAGGTGCAATTTCTTTAACCTATGGGACGTTTTTTTCAGAACATACCACAACTGATCCGCTGCGTTTAAGGACCTCACACTAAGCCTTCTTAACTTTACCCTTTCAAATAACTCTTTTCTTTACAATAAGGCTTTCAAATAAATCATAGCTGTACGGCAGTAAAGCATCAGTGTTGAACACTGATGTCATGCTGTCGATGATGATGATGATGATGATGAAACAAGTGTGAAATTAACTCAATGCTATATTATCTGTTAGGTTGAAGAAAACTCTTCGACAATCACTTTTCAGTGAAGAGACATTTCGCTGCAACTCTTTCATAAAAACCAA